TTTGGATGTAAATACCCTCAAATTAAAGCTGACAGTCTGCAGTTAAAGCACATCTTGTTCGCTTCATTTCAAATCCATTGTGGTGGTGTATAGAGCCAAAAATGTTAGAATGTCCCAATATTTATGGACCTGACTGTATATGTATGTATGTATGTATGTATATACCATTCAGAGTAATAATAATAGGCTAGAAATGTTTGAAATACAATGTGGATATGAATATATGATTTAAAAATGTTTGCATACTGTATATACGCTTTAACTGACCTATGCATGCCAAAAAAAGAGGCAATTTAGGGTTCACAGAATGAAACAGAGATAACATTATCAGTCATGGATGAAATCAAACCTCCATTGTTTTATTTATTCAGTTAGAAATTTTATCTCATCAGAGCATATTTGCCTAGAGAAGGTTAAATGGACATTATGAGAGGAAAAACAGGATGATAAAAAAGATAGTGGAGCAGGGAATATGCTTGGTATTAGTGTAAGCAATAAACCCATCAGAGTGAACTGCTGGTCCTTGGCAGCCAGCACTTGATTTCCCAGTAGAAAGTTAGAGTGTTTTCCTGTCCTGGAAGCAGTGACATCGCAATGTGAAAAGTCTTGCGCAGTGAAGGCCATGTGAAAACGAGACAGTTTACTCTAGCCCTCTGGGGTCTTCACTGTCACACATGTAAACTGTCAGCTAGTTCTGTTTTCTTTCCATGTCCCCGGCTCTGCAGCCAGCCTAGTGACAGTAGCAATCTGTCAGGGACCAGACTGACATTCCAGGGTGGGGATTTTCTGTCACCAATGACCTTGGAAAGCACTAGAGATAATAAACCTAGGAAGCATGTGTGAGTGTGTGTATGTGATGACATGAGGTTTAAGAAAATATCAGCCAAATGCTATGCAATTGCCTTTCACAATAGTCTGACTCAGGCTGCTGTTTCCATGTTCAGCCGAAGAACTTTACATTCCAGATTTCCACCGATGGGCTGCTTGCCTGCTGTAATGTATACATAACTGCTAGCCTGCCAACTGTGTCCAGTTTCTAAGTAGTCCCAGGTTTTGAGGCTTAACCCTTGGAAACGATTGCCTTTTTTAAAAAATTGATTAGCATCACCATTTTACATGCTTGTGGTTTCGAGAGTGGCCATAGACAGGCAGATGTTTCCTCGGAAATAACATTTCGCAACCTGCTCTAGCACCCACATGTTCTTCATCCAATGCTCACAGTGGTGCAGTATTTCTGATCCTTCACTGTACTCTATCGGAGGATACAAAACTTGGAATCACTTTGCAGGTGGATAAAAGTATTAGCAATCCAGTAGAATAAGGCTCATTCACCCTGGCACCCAGCAGATGTCAGGATTGGATACTGAGCTGTGCATGTGCAGATCAGTGCACCTTTAGAAAAACGTTGCTTACAGATAGGTTAGACTTTTTTTTTGTAAAAGAAACCTAACTGAGCCATGCACTGTAAACATTTTGGCAGGTTCCTAAAGAATCATCCTAAATTCACTGAGTGAATATTCCTGTTGCCCTGTTGGCTTACTTCCGCCCTACATCCTTTGACTGAAAAATGAGCTGACACAATATGTATTGCAGAAATTAATGCCTGTAAGCAACGGGGAGTGGTTTGGGATCCCTAGATTTCTCAATGCCTTCCAGGGAATTTTGATCGTTGTCTCCTCAACATTTGATTCCTTGGTCGAACCTAGACGAGGATCATGCACTTCAGGGTCACTAGGGGTCATGTGTTATCGATGTCCCCATTGGCTGTTACCACTCTCGCATTCACCATGATTCCTCATTTGCATCTTTGGTTACTTGGCTGATGAGCCTCTTTGTACAGTTATACTTTTTACAATAAACCTCAAAATACCTTGTACTATCTTCAGTTTCTTTGCAGCAGTGCTTTTGCAATGTTTTATTATCTTTGTATATTTATGCAATAAAAAATATTGAAAAAGAAAAATTAAAGGAGCTCAGTAGAAAATTTTATGCTGAACAGCAACAGCAACCAATTAGATGCACCCGTCTTTTGTGTATCCTGACAGTCAACAGGGCTGATTGTCAAAACACAACAGCTGCCTTTGGAGATTTGTCCATCCGCAATGACTGTCAACTAGACATAGCTTCTTCTGCAAAAAAAAAAAAAACAGCCAGCAATATTTAAAAAAAAAAAGAGTTTAGTTGTATTTTAAAGTGAACATACAGCCGCATTGATTTTCTTAGTTTTTTCTGTTTGAGTTCCATTTGGGACATTTCCCTATCTGTTTCTCAGAAACACAGCAGTAAGTACAGTATGTAACTCATCAAAGCTAGTTGGTAACCTTTCTTAGATAATTTTCATCAAAACATGTTTCTCCATTGGAAAAGTTCCTCTCAACTCCCGTATTTGTAAAAACTCATACATTTTGTATTGCCCATCACTTTTTTGTTTTACCAGAAACAATGACCACAAGGAGAGGATGAATCTCTCTAGCAGAGACACAGACAGGAAAAAACCCCAGAGGTTCTAACCCTTCCAAACATCATCAAAACACGAAATGAAAAATCTTCGCTCTACATACACTTAAAGGGACATATTTATAAAGCAGTGAACATGACTTTAACTAAAAATTCACTGGTGGTGAATCAATCAGTCATCTAAAACACATGTACCCAGAAGATTTATCTGCAGTGAATGTTTGGGATATGTCAGATTCATTGCTTTATAAGTATGCCCCTAAGTATTATTTTTTCTGAATAGACATTACAGAGGTCTTAAAGCATATTTGAAAACCTTTGGGCTCTTTATTCATATCCCTGACAGCTGCCAAATGTCCCCCACATGTTAAGCTAATGGCTCAATACACTTTACTCTTTAAAAAAGCATTCAGTTTGCTCCCTGGTGTGCCATGTTCTCTGAACCACGGCATCAGTGTCTATGCCAGCACTTGATCATTTACGAACATACACTTTGAATAACTGCTTCCTGGAGGAAACCCCCAGAGAGATAGCATTTGAAAGTTGGGGGACTACAGCCAGGTATCACACAGGAAATAAATGCACCTCCGAATCCAGCACATGTGTGTACTTAACCTTGAAGATGCTTCATATTTATGCTTCATATTTTTCATATTGTAATCTATAAAGTATGACTATTGACACTCAGCTCGGCCCCATCACTACTGAAAATTGCATCTTGTATTGTTGATCCTAATATTGTTGATCCTTCTTCTTTTGGGCTCATTCACATGGCCAGTTAGGGCAATACACTGCCCAGATCAGTTTATTTCTGCGTCGAGTACAGCCAGGCGTTTGTGATCTAGTGACACTAGGGTTGTTGGTTCGAATCCCAACCACAGCACCACCTGCCTGGAGTAGTCATGTTCTCCCTGTGCCTGTGTGTTTCCTCTGGGTACTCCGGTTTCCTCCCACACTGCAAAGACATGCTGATAGCTTAATTGTCTGCTATCTAAATTGCTCCTAATATGTGTACTGTAGTATGTATGAATGTGAATTAGAGACCTTAGGTTGTATGCTCCTTGAGGGTTAGGTACTGATGTGAATGTACAATATATGTAAAGTGCTGCTTAAATTAATGACGCTATTTATGTACCTGTAATAAATAAATAAATTACCCAAGACTGTTTATCTATCCCGAACTGTATGTATTCACTTTTTTGCAGAACAGCCGTTGACAGTGTCAGTCTGTCTTTGATTTGTACAGGATTCCTGTCTGCAGATGATCAGAAACACCTGGCCAAGCCCATTGTAGAAATAGGTCGATTTGGGCGGTGTACGGTCCTCGATGGCCGTGTGAATGGGTCCTTAGCCTTCTGTATAACATTCAACAAAGGCAAGTGTTTAGACATGTGAGGTCATTTATTGGGTTTGACCACCTATCCCCTCACCTCTCCACTAGACATGAACACCTCTGTGGTTAAAATCAGAAGGGGGTGATAATCAAGGACTCTACTCAGGTTACCATCACTGAACTGTGTTTTGTTTCTTTAGGGAGGCCATCTAAAGGTCATCAAGACATAGTGAGGCAATCTCTCCTAGTCTTCGCTAGCACTTCAGCCACCCGCTAGAAGAGTGACAGAAGCATTCTGAGTAAATAACTTCACTAACTGATGTAACCAGAAAAGAAAGACAAAGGAAGAATACGCCAGATGCTCCCTCACATTTTACTTTTTCTTCTTTTTTCAAATAACTTATTAGACTATTCTGCTTTGAAAGCCATCTCCAATTTCTCAGTTTGCTGACATCTGCAATGACTCAATGACTACACTCTTGCTAGGAATAATGGTGGTCATGAAAGACATGTATTTAGAACATGGTAGAACACATCAAGTGGTCTAGGAAACACTTATTATGTAGATGAAAGCTGTCTTGTCAAGCAGCATCGAAATATCAGAAAATACTTGAAATACCACAAATAAAATGTTATTTTTCATTCTATCTTGTAAAGGCAATGTCAAAAGTCATACATTCCAACTGATAGTGCTCTCATTTCAATAACCTAAAGGCCGTCTTTTAGTTTTCTGTCACTTGTAAGATACAATATATTGCCAAAAGTAATGGGACACCTGCCTTTATACGCACATGAACTTTAAGCCCAGTCTTAGTCTGTAGGGTTCAATATTGAGTTGGCCCAACCTTTGCAGCTATAGCAGTTTCAACTCTTCTGGGAAGGCTGTGCACAAGGTTTAGGAGTGTGTATATGGGAATGTTTGAGAATTCTTCCAGAAGTGCATTTTTGAGGTCAGGCACTGATGTGGGACGAGAAGGCCTGGCTCACAGTCTCTGCTCTAATTCATCCCAAAAGTGTTCTCTTGGTTTGAGGTCAGGACTCTGCAGGCCAGTCAAGTTCTTCCACCTCAAACTTGCTCATCCACATCTTTATGGACCTTTCTTTGTGCAATGGTACGCAGTCATGTTGGAACAGGAAGGGACCATCCCCAAACTGTTCCCACAAAGATCAGAGCATGAAATTGTCCAAAATGTCTTGGTATGCTGATGTCTTAACAGTTCCCTTCACTGGAACTAAGGAGCCAAGCCCAACTCCTGAAAAACAACCCCACACCATAATCCCCCCTCCACCAAACCTCACACTTGGCACAATGCAGTCAGGCAAGTACAATTCTGCTGGCAACTGCCAAACCCAGACATGTCCATTGGATTGCCAGACAGAGAAGCGTGATTTGTCACTCCAGAGAACACGTCTCCACTGCTCTAGAGTCCAGTGGTGGCGTGCACCACTGCATCCGACACTTTGCACTGCACTTTGTGATGTAAGGCATGGATGCAGCTGCTCGGCCATGGAAACCCATTCCATGAAGCACTCTATGCACTGTTGCTGTGCTAGTCTGAAAGCCACACAAAGTTTGGAAGTCTTTAGCTATTGACTCTGCAGACAGTTGGCGACTTCTGCACACTATGCACTTGAGCATGTGCTGACCCCGCTCTGTCATTTTTTATGTGGCCTACCACTTCGTGGCTGCGTAGCTGTTGTTCCCATTTGCTTCCACTTGCATCACACTGTTATAATATCACTAACAGTTGACCGTAGAATATTCAGTAGCAAAAAAATTTAATGGATAGACTCATTGCACAGGTGGCAACCTATCACAGTACCACGCTTGAATTCATTGAGTTCCTGAGAGCGACCCATTCTTTCACAAATGTTTGTAGAAGCAGTCTGCATGCCTAGGTGCTTGATTTTGTACACATGGAGGTGATTAGAACACCCGAATCCAATGATTTTGAGGGGTGTCCCAATGCTTTTGGCAGTATAGTGTATATTCATTCCAGTCTTAAAATTAGTTCTAACTGGCTTATCATTTTTCAATTAAGGATGGAAACAGTGCTTTGTATCAGCAAAACTGAAAATTATTTTGAAGTGGACATGGCAGGACTTAGGCAGATTTTGACAGGATTTGTTAAACATTTGTTAAAAATTTAAAGAATATTCAGTGAACACAAATTACATCACAGCATCTTGAGTACAAAATCAATCCCTGGAGACAGATAAAACAGTGAATATCATTAAAAGGAATTTTTCAACTTGACAATTGTATTTGAAAAATTTCACCAATGTGAAAGAGCATTATTTGAGCGCAGCGTCTTTGAGAGTTTTTCACAATTTGTTTTTTTTTTTTTTTGTGTGTTTTCATGCAGTGTTTTTGAGCTTTGACTTTTTTTTACTAGCCAATAGAGAAAAATAGTATCTGTTGCATCATTTGTTCCTCAATTTTTTAGAATATTTGAGCGCAGCGTCTTTCAGCGTTTTTCGCAGGGTGTTTTTGCTCGTTTTTAGGTGTTTTCATGCAGTGTTTTTGAGCTTTGACTTTTTTCTTACTAGCCAATAGAGAAAAATATCATCTGTTGCATAATTTGTTCCTCAGTTTGTCAGCTTTTTTAGCTTTTCCATCAGTTTATTATTATTCATTTATTATTATTTATTTTCTGGTAAGTGGTTAGAGTTAAGGTTAGCTTAGGATTAGGGGTTGGGGTTAGGGTTTGGGTTAGGTGTTAGGGTTAGGAATACGGTTAGGGGTTAGGGTTGGGAGTTATGGGTTAGGTGTTGGGGTTAAGGTTTAGGGTTAAATTTGATTTATTATTACATATTATTAATTTATTTATGATTATTTTTTGTGTATTTATTTTACATTTTTTATTATTAAAATTATTATTTTTAAATTTTTTTCATTTGAGCAGAAAAACACACCAAAAGCGTGTGACAAAATGCACGAAAGTGCTATGGAATTAAAACGCTCAAAAACATGCAAATCTGCGCGATTTGAGTGAAAGAAAAGCTACAGAACTTGTTTGAGCTTTAGGTGTTTGGCTTCAGGTGACTTGGAGTGGAGATGTGAACCACCTCCATCGAAATCCATCGATTAACTTTGTCTCCTCAAGCGTTCTGAAGCTTCGAGCTACAAATCACTGGGAATGGGACCTAAGATTTGGAGGTAAGAAAAAAGTAAAAAAAAAGTCTTTTATCTGTTCAAACCTCTTTATAAAGTGCACTTTAAAGGCATAAATACTGTACAGGGATGGCTCCAAAACTTGATGAAAAAAACGCTCCAACACCTCCACACTCGATTGCCACATGCTACCCACAGACTCTAGCATGCACGGGGCCGGCGCTATAAACCTCCCAGGCGCAATTCATCTTGGGGAAACTTTCTTCGTATTGCGAAAAAAATTCATTAATGCTTTGAAAACAAATGAATCCGTTCCAGAGATAAGAAGTCTTATCTGTTCAAAACTCTTTATAAAGTGCACTTTAAATACACGGGGCTGGCACTATAAACCTCCCAGGTGCAATGCATCCTGGGGAAACTTGCTTTGTATTGTGAAAAAAATTTGTAAACCGAGGTATTATTTTCAATGGATTTTCATTTGTAAACCGAAAATGACGCCTGGAGTTTGTGCAATATTTGTTTGAGGGTTTTCAGTCCCCCATTTCATGCACTCCTTCAATCCCCCCTTCCATGCCCTGTTTTAGCCCATCTTTTCGTGCCCCCCTTCCTTTCCCCTTTTATGCTCCCCTTTCCTTATCTCCCTTTCACACCCTCCTTTAATACCCACCTTGACCCCCTTTTCATGCCCTCCCCTTTCATAGTTTCCATCAGTCCTCCCCTTTCATGCTCATTTTCAGCCCCCCCCTTCCCAATCACATCGCTTTTATGTTTTCTTTCACTCATTTCAAAATGCGCTCTCCATCACCCTTCCACAACTCAGGAAAAGTACCTAGTGGAGTCATTTCTTGGCATCCAGTGGTGCTTTTCTTCCCTGCTGCATGGTTGGCTGGCTGGAAGGAATTGTAGTTATATGTCATTTCCTCCCAGCGTTGTCGTGAAGGAAGGAGGATTGAGCGCGAGGGCCATGGGACTGATTTGTAAGTGCACTGTGCACACCACCTTGATAGGACTGGCTGGCTGCAATAATACAAATATTAAGGCCAGCCGTAGCTGCAGTCCTGGACGTCTTAGGATTTATATTAGTGTGGTCAGTGGTTTTTATTAAGCTATGTTGTCAGGGCATTGGACATTTTTTTGGGACATTAGAGAGGCCTGGGGGGCACTTGCCCCGCGGCCCAGTCTGCCCATGGTCAAGACCCACTTTTGGGTCACGACTCATTACTTGAGAAACATGGTAGTAAAGGATTTATGAGTAATACAGAGAACCACCTAAGTATCGTATATTTCCTATGGCAGTAGCAGAGCATATGTTCCTTTTCGCACATGGACAGATATTATATCAGAACTAAATTTTACAAACAGGATACCTTTGCAGCAAGCAACTTGCGGAACCTCTGAAAACAACCTTGACTTTCAACAGGAAAAATATACTGGATATAGCTATGGCATTCTGAGGTTGAAGAATTGTCACATAAAGCATTCAAATACCCACCCATGCAGATATTAGTGGACTGAGAAAATCTTCAACGTATATTTATGTTTACAAAAAAGGGCCATATGTTTTCTACAATCATAATGGGGTCATATGTGATCATTTTAGACACATCAAGTGCTTAGTAAAATAAAATAAAGCTTATTGATGTCCCTTTGAGGGAAAGGAAGAAATGTTTGTAGTCTCAATTGTTCCCCTCTTTCACAATATACTGTATCTGTGCGATGGTGCCAGTTTCATGGAAAACATATGTGTATATATTTAAGTTAAATCTTCGCCACATAAAAAAGCCAATCCTGCAAGAAAAAGAGACAGAAAATCAACAAAACTGAGCTGTGAGGGCCAAGTGACAGCAAAGCCCCCAGATTCTCAGTACATATTTTTACTGACAGGTAAAGAAAATCTAACTCCAATCACCAAAATGTCTTTAACCACTTGCCCTCCGGAAGATTTACCCCCTTCATGACCATTTTTTGCTGCTTGACACTGCACTATTTCAACTGGTAGTGCAATGGTGCACCCAAACTAAATGTATGTAATTTGTTTCACACAAATAGAGCTTTCTTTTGGTGGTATTTGATCACCTCCGCAGTTTTTACTTTTTGCACTCTAAACAAACAAGGCCGAAATTTTTGAAAATTATATTTTTCACTTTTGGTCATAAAAAATATCCAATAAACTCAAAGTTAGTCATAAATTTAGGCCCAAATCAGGGGCGAACTGACCATTGGGGCATTGCCCCGAGGGCCTGGTGTCAGTAGGGGGGCCGTGAGAGGATCACTGTCCATTGAAAGTGTGGGAAGTGGAGGAGGCAGTTTCAGATGCCGACCCAGAAGTAGTTCACCTGTCACTTCACATGGGGGCAGAGTGAGTCGGGTGATGGATCTGGACACTGTGCTGGTGATGGAGCCGGTGGGCAGTGTAGCAATTGTGCACACAGATATGGACGCGATCAACCATCTTGCTCAAGATTCCCCATCTTGTATCATTCTCTTTCCCTCTGATCCCCCTCGCTCAGGAATGTGGTGTGTGTGTGTGCTGGGTTCATAAGGGCATCAGGCACAGTTGGATACACTGAGGCGATTGGTTCTCTGCTTCAAGGAGACACCCTGCTGGGTTCCTAGAAAAAGGCTGTTATGCTTGGAGCAGTAAGTTGAAGAATTCTCCCTTTTTAACATCAGGAACCAACTTTGGGAGAAAAGGCACCCTTTTGCTCTGACACTTGAACACTGCTTAAACCAAGGCTGACGGCAAGTATTCCACCTCTCTAAACTTCTTTCTGTTATCTCTCTGTTGTGGTATTGCTCTCTGTATTTATATATATATTGCCTACATCTTTTTCTGTAAATATTTTTATTGCACCATTTTGACCTTTTTAGTAATAAATCCTATTATCTGAAAAGTGTTGAACTGTTTCTAAAGCTCTTTAACGCAAACTAAGAATCCCTGTCTCTGAAGAGTGCTACTGTGTGTATTAAACCTCTATATACATCTGCCTGCAGTGACAGTGTGTATACAGATGATTATTCAAACATCATAGTGTTACTGCTAAGATTGGTGAGTTTCCTCTTTCTCTGTACAAAAAGGAGGCGGTGGCAGTGTGAAGGGTTAATTGCGTAATTAACCTGACCCAGTAACAATCGCTCTCAGGCTGCGATACATAGATTGTGGTCCATTAGCTGAAAAA